GTTTTTAAGTTGCAGAAAAGAAGTTTATTAGAAGTAAAAATACATTTCAAAGAAGCAGAAGTGGGCCTGAGCAGTAGAGGATGGCTCAAGGGCCATTATTAGAAAAGCAAGTACACTCCAAAGAGTTTGGAGTGGGCCCTGAGCAGAGGCAAGGCTCAAAATGCTCAAAAGGCCTGTTGGCTTTTTTTTTTTTTAACTTTTCTCCTTATTGTAAACTCCTTCAAAAGAGACTGTCTTGTTCATCACTGTCTACCCAAAACCTACAGAGTGCCCAGCACATGGTAGGTCTGCAAATATTTTTTTTTTTTTTTAGCTGAGCCATCCTGCCACCTGTTGGCAGCTCCGCGGCTGCTCAGCTCGGGCTGACTCGAACCACTGTTGCTCNCCGCGGCTGCTCAGCTCGGGCTGACTCGAACCACTGTTGCTCAGAGCTCAAACTCTTGAGCGAGCTCTTAACCAACTGAGCCACTCAGCTGGCCCTGCAAATATTTTTTAATAATGTGAAAATGTGAGTAAAAATCTTTCAAAGGTAAATTTGCTAGTGTAATTCAACAGTTTTTTAAAAAACTACATGGCAAAAAATGTGAATTTTTTATCTTCTAAGATTAGGAAGAAATTTGGGTGTGTGGGGGAATGGCTTTGATGATGTTTCTAAAGCGATATTAAGCCTAAGATCCTTTTACTAAAAAGTAATGTATAAAAAGAAAATTTTAATTTGGAATGCAGGAAACAGGTAACTCACAGTAACCTTAAGAACACCTTGATTCTTGAGCTATTATATCAAAAAAGACTCAATTGTTCATCACAGTCCATGAAAGAAAGTGCTAGAGTAAAATGTACGGGCGAGGACATGATTGGTACCCTGATCAGATCCCCTTTACCTAGCAGGTATACTCCAGCCACCAGCTGCAAATAGGTGTTGACTGCTATCAACTCACAATTGCTCCTTCTACAAAGAATCACCCTTAGAAATGCCGTCTTGGTCCCGGTCAATGACTAACTGACATAGGTGTTGAAAACCTTATGCTGGGCCAACTCGGACATACAAGCCACTCTCCGGAGTTCCCATGGGATCAGGCTGAGACCAAATCCAATTCTCACCCAACCTCTTCCCTTGCCTTCTCCTGCCTCCTTCACTACTTGAAAGGTTTCTCCCAAGAACCCTCCATCTGTAAATCACAGGCACAACATCTGGGTCTCCTTCTAGAAAGCCACCCCTCAGATATTCACGGAGAGGAAATTTCAGCTTCTGAGGTTAAATGACTCCTGATGCCTCTGCCCCCTGCTTGTGCAGCCTTCATCAACAAGGAGGGCCGACACTGGCCTTGGCCTCCTGCCCTATACATTTCCACACTAATTATACCTGAGATTAATATGTATTTACTCAATATGAGAATCAGAGCATGTCTTTCAGGAGCCTCAATTTTATTCAAATTCAACATTTTATTAGTACCTATTCAGTGGCAGCAATATGCTGCAGGAAAGTGGTTAGCAATGGAACAATGATTAAAACATAGTAATTTCTACCATCAAGAAAGAGAGAGAGAGAGAGAGAGAGAGAGAGAGAGAGAGAGAGAGAGAGAGAGA